AAAGAAAAGATTGACCATGGCTCCAGTGCTAGTCTTGCCAAATGGAGCGGACGGATTTGCTGTGTATACTGATGCCTCACGAGAAGGCCTGGGTTGCGTGTTAATGCAGAACCGTAATGTGATCTCTTTTGCCTCTAGGAAGTTGAAACCCCACGAGCAGAACTATCCAACCCATGATCTGGAGCTAGCTGCCATTGTTTTCGTGCTGAAAAAGTGGAGACATTATCTATATGGGGTAACCTTCGAGGTTTACTCCGATCACAAAAGCCTGAGGTACCTCTTTTCACATAAGGAATTGAACATGAGGCAGCGACGATGGATGGAATTTTTGGAGGATTACGACTGTACCATCAACTACCATCCAGGAAAGGCGAACGTAGTAGCCGATGCTTTGAGTCGCAAGGCGCAAGTAATTGGGTTAATGATTAAAGAGTGGAATTTACTCGAGTCGGTTTGTGAGTGGAAACCCTGTCTTGGGAGCCATAAGGTGATTTTTGGCAATATTAAAGTGACTTCCACTCTCTTGGAGAGAATTAAAGAAGCTCAAAAGGAAGATTCACTAGTGCAGAAATGGGGAGAGAAAGTGGAAAAAGGAGAAACCACTGATTTCAATTTTGGTCCTGAGAGTATTTTAAAATATCGAAACCGAATAATGGTGCCGAAGGATGAAGCGTTGAAAACGGAGATTCTGGAGGAAGCTCATCGGTCCAAGTATACTATCCATCCGGGTAGTAGCAAGATGTATCAAGACCTGAAAGGAACCTATTGGTGGGATAATATGAAGAAGGAAATCGCTCGGTATGTGCAAAAATGTCTTGTTTACCAACAGGTTAAAGCGGAGCATCAAAAATCATCGGGCTTGTTACAACCCCTTGAGATACCTGAATGGAAGTGGGAAAATATCACCATGGACTTCGTTTCAGGTTTGCCGCGAACGCAGCGAGAACACGATGCCGTTTGGGTGATCGTCGATCGATTAACCAAGTCGGCCCATTTCTTGCCGGTGAACATGAAGTATTCCATGGACAAGTTGGCCCAACTGTACATGGATGAGATTGTAAAGCTGCACGGTGTTCCTGTGAGCATCGTCTCCGATCGAGATCCACGTTTTGTATCTCGGTTTTGGCAAAAGTTCCAGGAGACTCTAGGGACGAAACTCAACTTGAGTACGACGTATCACCCTCAGACGGATGGACAATCGGAGCGAACAATCCAAACTCTCGAGGACATGCTACGGACTTGTATTCTGGATTTTGGAGGCAACTGGGGTCAACACATGACCTTAGTAGAGTTTGCATACAACAATAGCTACCATTCGTCAATTCAAATGGCTCCATATGAAGCACTGTATGGACGAAAGTGCCGATCACCAATCTATTGGGATGAAGTGGGCGAGAGTAAGCCATTGGATCCAGCAACTATTCCTTGGATGGAAGAACCTCGAGAAAAGGTTAAGTTGATACGGCAACGACTCCAAACAGCTCAAAGCCGACAAAAGAGCTACGCAGACAACCGAAGAAAAGACTTAGAGTTCGAAGTTGGAGACCGTGTTTTCCTCAAGGTTACACTGTTACGGAGTGTCACGGCGGGTAAAGGAAAGAAATTACAACCGAGGTTCGTTGGACCCTACAAGATCCTACAGAGGGTAGGAGCGGTAGCGTATCGATTAGAGCTGCTTTCCAGTCTCTCTCGAATTCATGATGTCTTCCATGTTTCGATACTCAAGAAGTACTATCCCGACCCCTCCCATATCTTACAACCAGAGGAGATCGACGTGGACGAATCGCTTGCTTATGAAGAAAAACCTGTCCAAGTGCTTGATCGGAAAGTCAAAGAGCTAAGAAACAAGCAGATTCCGTTGGTAAAGATACTGTGGAGAAATCATGGGGTAGAGGAAGCTACCTGGGAAGTGGAAGAAGAAATGCGAATGAAATACCCTGAACTTTTCGTGAGTTAAGGTAAGAAATTTCGAGGGCGAAATTCTTTTAAGGGGGTGAGAGTGTGAGAACCCGTAATTTTCCATTTTCTAGGTTTTAGAATCTTCCATGGCTTGTTTTCTGCATTTTCGTGAGTAGGAAAAATTTCTAGATATTTTTAATGAGCAGATATAGTTTTTGGATGATTTTTCTAGTATCGAATAGGTTTTGAGAAATTAAGAACGTATACCGGACGTGGGACCCACTAGTGCGAAAAGTTTAGAAAAATTCGGTCAACTAGGTTAAGTTTTGGATACTGGAATTAATTTATCGGGTGTTAAGAGATAATTAGAGGGTACTATTTGGATTGGTATGAGAGGAACAAAGAGATAGCTATGCATTTAATGGGGTGACAAGTGTCACCACATGATTTAACCTTGACTTTTGACTACTATTCCTTACTTTACCATTTTAGTCAAAAATTGCTAAAAAATCATCAAAATTCCAAAGCTCATAGCCAGCCCTCTCTCTCAAGAAAGGAAGAAAGAAAGCTCTCCAAGTTGCTTCAATCTTTGCTCCAATCTTCTAAATCAACCATTGAATTTTGTTTTTGCTCCATAGAAACACTTAAGGGAGTGATAGTGAGGTGTTGTGTGGAGTTATTTGGAAAGCTAAGAGGAGTAATTGCTCTCTCTCTCTTGTTTCTAAGGTGAGTTGTGAAGAACCACTTTCCTTCCTCTAATGATGCCTAATTTATGATTAGTGGTGGTATGAGATGCAACTTTATGGATTATATTTTGAGTTTTGGTTGAATTGGTGAAATTTTCTAATTATTGGTGATTTTTCTGTTTTAATATGAACATGATTGTGTGGCTATATTTGATGATTGGAAATGATGTTTAAGGACTCTATGAGGTGGAAAAAGTGGTTAATTGCAAACAATTTCTGTTTTGGAAGAAATTTTGGAAAGTTAGGGTTTATGATGATTACATTCTGCCCGGTTTTGTGGGTTATAGTTAGAGGCCGAATTGGCCTTGGCTTAAACCATGAAAGTTGTAGGGAATGATATTTTAGAGGTGTCTACAAAATTTCAGGTCAATCGGAGTAGTGTAGCCTGAGAAAAGTCGAAATTACCCTTGCTGTCCTGGTTTTACCCGAATGTAAGAATTGTGCCTATAATTGGGTGTTTTGGTTGGTATTGCTTTGGAATTTGTTGTTGAGGTCTTCTGATAAAATGTTTCCCTGTTTCTAAGCTTTTGGATGATTTTAGAATTTCTGGATTTGAACTTAAGTAGGCTGAGTTATGCTATTTACAGCAGAATGTGGTTTGTGAATCTGTTTTTGCGGTTCTAGTGTAGTATCTTGCATTTTTGACCTGTTTGTACTCAGAACTGGGCTGAGTGACCTTCTGTAATATTGTAACCCTGTTTCTTAGCTTCGAAACGGTGGGTCTTACACCTTCATCCGATAATCGTAGTGCCTTTGGTGCCATTACCGCAAAATGAGGTGAAAAACTATTTTTTTTTCAGGGCAAAGCTAAATCCATTTCCGGATTTTCTGGTTTTCTCTAATGCTTGTATATGCTTATGGAACCCTATTGGGGTCGTATTTGGTATTGATTTATGACTCGTTATCGAGTCTTATTGTACTTATTTGCATGTTTTAGGGCGTGACGGTGGTGCACGACGTTCTTTTGACGGAAGTGCATGAAACCTCATTTGCAAGCTTGGTGAGTGTACTACTCACTTGTGTGTTGCTATATGGCTTTGATACTTGAACTTGATACGTTGAATGTGAATTGATTGAAGTGAGAGCGTACTTTATCACTCTCACTTATTGTTTATCATGTTATTGGAATGTTATACGAAATGTTACATGAAATGAAAGTACATGGTTTGGTGTCGTTTGGAAGAGTATCCAACGACTACAATTGTTATATTTGAGCTCAACCCCATTGGTAGTTGATTGAATCGAGCCGGCGAGGGCTTGGTCGTGCCAATTGATGTGCCTTGGGGAAGTGTTATATGGAATCTTGTAGTATGAGAGACTCTCGATTCCGGTTTACTCGAGTAATACCAAAGTGCAAGTGTTTGGAGTTCGGGCCCGGTAGGGGTATGTTGGGTGGAAGGAATGGAAGTAAAGTGGTGTCTATGGTTGGTCACTTTTGAATTGACGGAGAGTCAATGAAGTTCGATCAAGAAATGCAAACGAGGGAAAAGGGCTTTTGAGAGCCACCCGTATCCTTTTATCACCACTTGTGATGTGTGCCTTTGCTTGCTTTTAATGTATTGAATGAAATGCTTGTTGCTTATATGCACTTGGTTGCATGAGTGATAGTATATCACTGGGCGTAAGCTCACCCCGTTCCTTTTGTTTTCCTTACAGGAATCTGACTGCTTTTGGAATGACTTTTGATAATTGGTTGCCGAATGAACTAGATGAATATCTCTTTTGTATAGTTATGAATTGAAACCCTAAATGTGCCTTTGGGGCCGTTTTCACTTTTATTTTGGCAACCGTACATGTATTAATTTTGAGTAACTTTCATATGCCATTTTGGCTTGTAAACGCTGAATTTGATGTTGTAGATGTATCTTTGATGTTTGGTTGGGTTCTGACGGGTCGGTTACTATTCATGGCTGATTCCGGATTTCTTTTCCTTTTATTTTTTTTTATTTTGGGATTTTGACTTGTTTACGCGCATTGTATGGTCCGGAACGTATCAGATCGCTCTAAACTGAACCGTTAGTCCTGGCGAGAATCTCATGTTTTTCTCATGTTTTTCTAGAATCCTCTTGATAGATCTTGAGGGAGTGATGTTGTGGCGACCCCACTTCCCCCTAAGGCGAACCAGAGGGTTGGCGGCCGTCTGCCTATCTCTCGCCAGGACTCACGCAAGCAAGCTAGCAAAAATCCTTCCGAAATATAACCTAATCTATTACAACATCGTTTCCCTCCAAATAGGCCGGTTTCTAGAATCACATTAACTTCAGAGATAACAGTGCCTTAAGATAGCCAACGTCGATTCTTAAAATACCTTTCCGAATACAACCCAAGAAACAAAACATCAATACAAATACATCCTTACAAGCCAAGTAACAAATTTATACCAGCCACATACAAATCCAGGTTTTACACTTTTCCAGCTTCAAGTGGCAACCTAAGGCAAAACTACAATGTTTAACTCGAATTACATTCATGAAAGTAAACAATCTAGTACTACTTCCGAGCACATTTGAGACAGCTACATTGTTTAATTCAAACTACATGCTTAAAGTACAAGTAGATCTCAAGTCTTCCTCAGTTGTCAGAACCTGTAAAAGAAAACCACAACGTGGGATGAGCTACACAGCTCAGTGAGGTTCCAAGACGCTCTAACAGTTCAAATAGGTCAAGTGAGTTGTGCATATCATATGCATGATTCGAGGTTATACAATGGCATGTTACCATGAGGTGATAATCATTACACGGTAATTGTTACTTTGAAAACACATGTAGAACTAGTACTTTTGGAATGAATGGCCATATAAATATATTTTCATAAATTTTCAGTCAAACAAATAGTGGCTCGTCCGACTAGAAGAACATTACAAGGATTGCTTCATCTCAGAGGTTAATGCTCATGAGGAGTCTTACCCGAGAATGCCAACTAGGAGAGCAATAATATTATTAATAGTAAAGCAAGCACGAAAGGATACGGTGTTCCAGTGGAACTTTGTCGGTCATCTGCACCTTATAACTCCCGGATCCCCACGGTTGACTGGCCATCACCTTATCCCTCCAGTGGTAGTACTCGAGTATACCGAAACGGTTGTCCAGGGTTCCAACCTACCCGACCAAGCCCAGTCCTAGCTCGAGTAGGTCAGTAACTGAGGCAGGGCCCAAGTTCAGCTTATAGCTTACAACATGCACAGGTAACCAAGTAATTCGACAAAAAGTAAAATTCATCATTTGAATAGGTCGAGTGAGGTAAAGTACACACTCGCCTAACAACGATGGATAACTTCATATAACATGTGATTCATGATAATCAAGTAATCAAGTGGATACTTAGCACGTAAGCACGTAAGCAATACAAGTTGATTTCATGGGAGCGTGTAATTCACGGATATCGAAGAATCATATAGATTAGAAATCATGTGAACAAATAGTCAGGTAATCAGGTAGTCATGTGGGTTGGTAAACGGTTCACGGTTGACGGTTAACGGTTGAGTAATGACGGTTATTTGGCAGGCATTTGCCATATTAATAGGCCATCATTGGCCATTATCCCATTTTTTACCATGTGAGAGTCGAGGAGATTCACTCCAACGACGTTACTACATTTAGATTCACGAGAAAATGTTTCACGCAAGTCACCACTCGAACGGCTAGTGTGATAAAGTACACACTGCGCACTTCGATGGATCGGAACTCATTTTCCAAATTGTCACATAACGAGTCACAAGAGCACTTTAACCAAATAAGCATAAAACAAGCAGGCTAAGCACGTATTGAGTTTACAAGATCATTTGATAGGGTTAATCATTTAACCAATTCATGTCGATATGCGATGCATATATATATTTCTTAAATAGGCACGAGTATGGTAAATACTTAACGATCATGAAATGAGCATGTCCTAGACTTACTCAATTACGTATTCCTATATGGAACACTCACCTAGTCAAACAAGCGCAATAGGTCTCAAACAAGCGTTTTAGGAGTCCGCTCCGAGTTCCTCTTGGAGATCTCCTCGATTGCCTGAGCAAACAATAATTCAAGTACCACTCAATATCGCTACAAATTCTCTAGTTTTCGATAAAGATTGTACGTTAGTGAAATCTAAGAAATTAACGCGGAGACGAGCCTAAGAATTCGTGTAACTCGAGGTTCACAAGTGGGGTTTTAAAATACAAGACAAATCTGATTTCCATCTCTGGATTCAAATGTAAAACAATCAAATGATATTGACAGAAATGAAGAGTTCGAAACCCCTTAGTTTCCTTTAAGTTAGAAAATTCCAGATTTAACAAGTAATCTTTGAAAAATCATATCTTACTCTCTACAAGCCCAAAATTGGAAAACTTGGTACTATTGGAAACCTCTTTGAAAGTACTAAAAGTCCCTAGAATACACTTTTCCATGATTCTAATTGGAAGATAGTCAAAAATGGGCTCAAAGTTACTGTTTTGGTTCATAAGGCAGATTAAAGTTGATTTTTGGCCAACTTTGGAATTTCGGCAAAATTCACTTGTTTGGAACTAGCTTTTGAAATTTTCAACCCTATTAGTGTTGTAATCCAAGAGTATAACAAAACAAACGGAACGAGAAACGGGGTTTTGAGCACCAAGATACGGTAGCTCAAAGTTACTAAATTTCCCATGTGAAACACGGGTGTTTCAAACTCGAGTCATGAACTTTGGTAATTTATTTGACCCATGAATCGGTCTTAGAATAACACCATAATTAGCAGTATAATACTACCATATAAGGGTTGTTCCTCTACCAAATTTCATGGAAAAACAACTTCGGAAAGGTGGTCAATCAAACACCTAAAATTTCGCAAATACTAAGACAAAACTGCCTTGAACCTTTTGTTTTTCCATTTCAGACATTTGGTCAAAGGAAAAATTCCTCCAAACCTGGTTCATGGTACATTTGGTAAGTGTTTAACATCAAAATATTCAGTTAGCAAGACTTTGCCAAATCTTGCATCAAATCTGTCTAAAAAATCAGGGTTTTAAGGGCAGAGCAGGTTTCATATTTTGATCACAGATCACTCAAATTAACTCAGAATTTGGCATGGTTTAAGGCGTTAGAAAACACATTCATAGAGCTATAATTTCATAGAAGAAATCATTTTGAAATTTGGCACACAACTAGCTCGAATTCGAGTCACAAGTTGCAGCCTCAGCATTTTGTTCTTGTAAAACAGAGAGACAGAACAGCCGACTTAAAATAGTTGGTTTGGCTCACATACATGGAACCAGAATGTGAATTTTATATCGTCGGAAAGGTTGGAATGTCTAGTTTCAAATGCCGCTAACGGCACTCGATTTCGACATCGGAGTTCAAAATTATGGCCGAAACACGAAAGCTGGTCAGAGCATTTCGGAAATAGTTCCAGATTTACTAGCTTTGTTAAATCGATTTATTTGACCAACCAAACCTCAATATTTTTCAATGAAACTTTGTACAACATATATTCAACATATCAACATGATATACAAGTCATGAAACTCTCAAAATTTTGCAAAAAGGGGTGCGATTAAAACAGGGCAAATCTGAACATTTTTGAACAATGCATCTTTTGGAGTCTAGACTAGCTAGGTATCATTAATCTACCTATTTAAACACTAAACTAGCATTGTATCCATCATCAATCCAAGGGTGGGAGTTCATAGAGCCCACCATCAAAATTTTCCGACACGAAATAAAACAAATAACATGTAATTTTAGCAAATAATTCCACCACAATAAATCTGTCATCGGCTAAACAGAATTTCCAGCAGCTAATTGGTCATAAAACCAACTTTTTACTCGGCTAATACATGATATTAAGTACTCAAATCCGACAAGCAAATACTTGACTAGCTAATCAGATCATCCAAGTCATTGTGGGAATTCATAGAGCCCACTCACCAAGTTTCCATTAAAACTCAAAAGAGCCACCATCGGCTAAGCTGGAAAAAATTGCAGCAGCTATGTTTCAACATTTTTGGTCAATTCATCCAACGGATCAAGTACTTTACAACTGAATATCTTACAAGACTTAAGACACATATATTTCATGCATTTCTAAACATTGTTTGCTAATGAAAAAATTCCAGAAACAACTGCAAATTCTGGTTTCACTCCCTTGGCAAGTCACGTAAATTTTCCAGCATTTACTCAGTCATAAACAAAATTTTTCTTCGGTTTCAATCCACAATTCAACTTTTCCTCAGATTTTCTTCCATTAAGCTTCACTTAATACTTAAAGCTAACAATCTATATGCAATTCATAACAAAATTTTCCATTTGACAGCAATTACAAATGCAAACAAACATGAAGTCTCTCGGCTATTCCAGAAAATTTCCAGCAGTTAAGTTAGACGCAAATCTGGATTTTCTTCAGCTAAAACCTTGTATTAAGTACTCAAAACCAACATGCATGACTAATTAATGGAAATTACTAACAGCTCTGGTTTAAATCAAGTTCGGACAGCAACTACTATCATCCACAATTCCAGAAATTCCTACGACTATTCTCGGATGATCTTGCATGCAACAGATTTTCTTGTTCATCTTTATTTCTTGCTTAACCGAGCAAATGAGCTGCATTCAAAGTTTAATCATCTTGTCTTAAGTTAGGGAAACACATATATACATTCAGATTGCATCAAGGAAACAGAATTAAAGCTGCATCTCCATTTCAGCTTTTCGGCAAAACCATTTACTTCCAAAACAGATTTTTCTAATGCTTTGATTTCATCATCCGATTGCACAAACAATACATGCATGCCCCTAGATGGCTCAATCTACCTCTTGATCAACCTAAAATGGTCCAGAAATTACCTCACAGTGCAACTTACTCACACGACAGAGCTGAATTTTTTTTTCTTCCTCTCGGCACGCGCGCAAGGCCTGAAGTGCTGGTTCTGGTTGCAATAGTTGTGGCTGGGACTGATGAAGGTGGTGACGATCAGCAGCTCCCACAACTTCCACTTGCTCTCTCCTTTCTTCCCTCAAGCTCACGGACAGACCAGAGAAGATTCAGCTCGCGATTTTTCTTTCTTTCCTCTCGGCTGCAAGGTGCAGCTCACTCTCTCTCTCTCGTCGATGATCACGAGGTGAAGCTCTCCCTCTCTCACTCTTGGTCAATGCTCACGGTGTGAGGAAATGGAACTGGTTGTGCGAGGTTGAAGTGAAGAAATAGGTGCGGTTAAGGGGTTGGGTGTGCAAGAGGGTGGAGTGTGAAGATGTTTTGTGATATAGGAATGAAGGTGGAGTGGGATGGTATCGCGGTTTTGTGATATGAAACGGAAAGGAAATGGTTTGCGGTTTGTGTTATGAATTGGAGAGTATGGTATAAGGTGCCGTGGTTTAAGAGAAAGGATTGCGCGTGTACGAGTAGGTTGCGTATCGAATTGGATAAAATGTAATTGGTTGATAGTGCGGTGATTAGAATTCTTGTCAGAGGGTTCGTTTGGTTTGCATGGAAATGTAAGGGCATTTTAGTCTTTTCACTTTGCTCCCTAACCTCAACTTAATTTCTCAAATCCAACTTAATTCTAAAAATTATCCCCAAGCGTGATTTGAACGCCTAAATATACACTAGTATACTTAAACCATTTTTATCGAATAATTATCGATTAAACTTGAATATTGGGATTCCTAGTAATTCTTATATTATTTAGCGATTAAATTAATTATTAGAATTTCCAATTATTATTTCTCAAGGAATAGAGTTAGTCTAACTCGAAATTTATTGATTTAGTAATGTAAAGTCAAGTGAAATAATAATCAAATCCAAGGATGTCAATATGCACATAAAAATTATTTTTACGTACTTAATTGCGAACAATTAAAAGTAATACTAAAAAAAATTATCCAAGAATAAAAGAAATGCAAATGAAATATGCACTAGTTTATATATCCATTTTTCAGGGTTCTCACAGATGTGGCCTTGTACTGAGGGCTTAAATGGGAAGAAACAAAGCCGAAAAAAATGAATGGAAATTAGACCACAATGGCCGCTGCGATTTTTCTTCTTTACTGACCTTCTGCTTGCATTTTTGCATGAAAGAAACTGGCGCGTGCTTGCCACGCGCGCATGGAGCAGCCCTTTTTTCTTTTTTCTTTTTAAATTAGGTAAACAAACATCAAAAATTTCATAAACTGAATCTAGAAGAACTGAAACATATTTTTGTGGAGATTTTCCTTTTTCCAGTAAATTTTATGCAAAAAAAAATGTCTTAAAAAAATAAAAACTAAAGATGAATAATAATTAACAATTAATTAATGAAAAATAAAAATAAAAGTAAATAAACTAAAATAAAAATTTGGTGTCTACACCGTAGGTCAGAAAAACACAAAATGTGACGCCCCCACTTCTTCCAAGGGCGAACCCAAAGGTATCGGTGGAGCGCGTGCTCAATTCTCGCTAGAACTCGGTACTAATTCAATTTACACTCAATAATAACCAATCGATACTAAAAATCGAAGAGATAAAAGAAGGTCAATTCCTCAATAAACGTTCAAGTCTTACATCATAATCTACCCAATTACTTTGCGTTCCCAAAATATACAGCTTCCAAAAATCAAATTGTAGACAAATACATTCACAATTCTAATCAAGTGAAGCATCAAGTAAGCTTCTCCAGAATTTCTTCCATTTCAGCTCCTGTTAAGGAAAACAAATCTAACGGGGGTGAGTGGATGCTCGTGAGGTCAAGAAAACATGCAAGACAAGTAATTCAATAGCAATAGCACTTATACAATAGTGAAAACTATAACATTCAAGAATTTCACCATTTATAATAAATACACTTGAGTAGGAGGCAGGAGCTCTCAAAAAGCTAATTTTCAATTACTTTGCCCAAGTTCAAATCAACCCCTTCTTGTAACGACACCCCGTCACTTGGATAAATAATTAAATCGTAGCACTTCACGTATTCCATTTATGTTTCTGAGACGACTCGAGAGGTACCTCCCACCTGAATCGGTGTGGTACTTACTAT